ATTAGATCCCACAGATTAGGCCTCCTCCGGATACCATCAGCTAGTCAGTGTCTCCTGTCGACCACCCGGAGGAGGGCCTTCTCTGGGGCTGCTACGGCCCTCTGGAACAATCTCCCCGTGGTGATTCGGACCCTCACCACCCTTCAGGCTTTCCGCAAAGCCGTCAAGACCTGGCTGTTCCGGCAGGCCTGGGGCTGATGAGTTCCCAGCCCCACTTGAATTTGTTGTGGCTGTTGAGGAGTTTTTAAATCTGTTTTTTGTATTTTGTTGTTGTCTTGTTTTTTTTCTTTGTATTGCCCCCTTTCCCTATCGGTTTGTTAGCCGCCCTGAATCCCTTTGGGAATAGGGCGGCATACAAGTTTAATAAACTGAACTGAACTGAGATGGTCAGCCAGTTCCAGGCCGTGATGCTGTCCCACTGGAACGAGGCCCTCCGGCTCTTCGCCACCAGCGGCGCTTCCCTCCAGCCTTCCTCCAAAGCCCCCCACCAGGAGGCTGAAGCAGACCCCAGGTTGGGATTTCTTCCCCCCTTCGACCCACCCAAAAAGACCCCGAAGAGGGAGACTCTCTGAAGCAACACAAGCGTTCATTGCACGTATCTGTCCCAGGGGTCGTAGTTCGAGGACCCCTGATTGAGTGCAATATAAAAAATGCAAATCGTTTTTCTGCGCACCACCAAAACTTTCTCACGGACCCCCAGTTGGTGAAACTAAGCTAAGTTCACTTAAGAAACAGGCCCTGTCACAGTGGAAACCGGAAGGATATATTTGACGCAGTTTCGCAGCCAGCTCAGAAGATGGGATGTACCACGGATGCATCATGAGAAACATGCGGACCAGCTGGGGGTCTCGGACCTTGCCCTCATTGTCTGCAAAAAAAAAAGGGGGGGAGGAGGGAAGCATAAGCCCAGATCAGATTTAAAACACAGTTTCTCATTGTCTGCCTCTCCTGCACTCTCTTCCACCCATTTGTTTAAACCTTCTTCTGAGAAGGTTTCAAACATGCAGGTTGTCCTCGGCTTACAACCATTCTTTTACCGACCATCAGAAGATGACACAGCACTGAAAAAATAGGGACTTGTGGTCATTTCTCACTTGCTACCATTGCAGTGCCCCATCATCGCCTGATCAAAATCCAGACACTTGGCAACTGACTCATATTTACAACGGTTGCATCGTCCCAAGGTGGTGTGATCTCCTTTTGCGACCTCTCGCCCAGCAAAGTCCATGGGGAAATCTCCATTCACTTAACAACTATGTTACCCACTTAACAACTGCAGTGATTCACTAAACAACGGTGGCAAGAAAGGTTGTAGAATGGGGCAAAATTCACTTAACTGTCTTGCTTAGGAACATAAATTTTGGGATCAATTGCGGTCATAAATCGAGGACTACCTCTAGAACAGAACAGAATGTAAAATGAATGGAATGGAATAGAATAGGATTCAGAATGGAATGGAATAGGAATGGAATAGGAATAGAATGGAATGGAAGAGAATAGAATAGGATTCAGAATGGAATAGGAATGGAATAGGAATAGAATAGGAATAGAATAGGAATAGAATAGGAATAGAATAGGAATAGAATAGGAATAGGAATAGAATAGGATTC